AATCCAGCTTGCCACAGGCCTGGTCCTCACACATACAAACAAGTGTTATGGCTTAATCGGGGAAACCCCTGATAACCCCAACCAGACCCTCCTCCAGCCCTGGTTTTTGCGCATACCAAGAAGTGCAATGGCCTAGCCTGGACCATCCTGTATTCCACCTGGCTCTCGTGCTTACCTATGGGTGCTACAGCTTACCTCAGCCTGACCCATTCCCAGACCCAGTCCATACACATGCCGATGGATGCTGCCACTTAATCCAGCCCAGCCTGCCCCCAGCCCTGGCTCTCATGCTCACCAGCAGGAGCTGCAGTCTAGCACAGGAGTGCCCACAGTTCTCCCACCATGTTTACTCTCAGCCCCAGGTCTTGTATGTGCCAGCTGTACTGTGACCCACCCCCCGTCTCAGCATTCACCAGCAGGTGTTACAGCCTGGCTCAGCCCAGTTTGCCCCCTCCATCTAGCTCTCACTTGCAGGTGCGGCACCTAGTCCAGTCTGGCCCATACCCAGCCCCAGCCTCATATGAACTGGCAGGTGCCATGGCCCAACCCAGCCCAGCCTGCATCCCACCCTGGCTCTCACTCATGCCAGCATCTGCTGCAAACTGGCCCAGACCAGTCTGCCCTCAGACATGGGACACATGTATGCTGATGAATGCTGCTGCCTGGCCTTTCCTGGCCTGCCCCCAACCCTGGCTCTTGTGCACACCAGTGGGAGCTATAGCTTAGCAGGCGAGTTACCCAAGTTCCCCAACCAGGCTCACTCCCAGCCCAATCTTGCACATGTTGCAGCCTAGCCTAACGTGGCCTCTTCCTAGGCCTAGCACTCACCAGTAGCGACTGTGGCCTAGCCTGACTGGCCTGCTCTTATTATGGCTCACTGGTGGGTGCTACAGCCTTTCCCAGCCTGGTCCACCGCCAGACTCAGCTCTCCTGTGAAGGGTCATGGTCTAGCCCAGCCTATCCCACAACCATTCTGGTGAGTTCCAGAAGATGCTAGGGCCTATCCCAATTTGGTCCACCCCAGACCTAGTGAGCACGCATGCCTATGGGTACGGCAGCCTTGCCCAGCCACGTCAGCCTCAAGCCCTGGTTTTCATACTCACCTATGTGAGCTGCAGCCTAGCAGCAGAGTTTCCAAAATTCCTCAACCAGGTCTAGTCTCAGCCCCAGATCTTGTGCATGCCAGCAGATGCTTCAAACCAGTCTGGCATGGCCTGTTACCAGTCTCAGCTCTCACTGGAGAGTGTTGTATCCTAGTCCAGCCCAGGACTGCCCAAACCTAACTTTGGCTCTTGTGGCCTGGCCAAGCCTGGGCTGCCCCCAATCCTGACCCACACACATGCTGAAGCATGCTGCAGTTTTTCCTGGCCTAGCCCACCACCATTCCGGTTATCCTACCTCTGCAAGAAGAGCTATGGCCTAGCAGGGGAACTCCTCAAGTTCCCCTACCAGGTTTGCTTCCAGCCACAGATCCCCACAGCCCAGCTTGGCATGGTTTTCCCTCAGTCCTTGCCTTTGTATGTGCTGGCAGGTGCTACATCCTCATCCAGCCTGGACTCCTCCCAGCCCCAGCTCCCGCGAGTGTCAGGTGAATTTCATGGAGACCCATCACCACCTCCAGTTCTTATGTAAACCAGCAGGTGCTGCAGTCCCACAGACAAGCCCGTAAGTCCCGTATATAATTTGTCCCCAGATACAGTTCTTTTGCATTCTGGTAGCTTCTGTGGCCCAGCCTGACATGGCGCACCCCCTGCCAACACTCATGGGCAGTTACTGCAGCCCAGACCAGCCATGCATGCCCTCCATCCACAGTTTTTGTGTGTATCTGTGGACTGTGGGTAATGCTACTGAGCCATGCCCAGGTCTCCCACATGTGTGAGTGCCTTGTCCTGACCAGGACATGCCCTCAGACTTCCCCATTCTAGACCATCTTGTCTCAGGTCCCTTGCTACCTGCAAATGCAGTGACACAGTCAGTGCAAGTCTCCAGAAATTACTTCCTACCTTTTAAAATTTATTTTATTATTTTATAATACAGTTTCCCTTGCCCCTCTCCAAGACTCCACCCTGCTATCCCCACATTTTCCCCCCGTATCATTACAATAGTATGGTCCTTTTTATAATCAGTCATAAGTCTATCATTCTGCTATTTAAGTGTATCCTGACACTGTAGGCATGACCAATAACTGACGCACAGTATCCTTTTGTCAAGATATATTTAACAGTTTCATTAGGAGTCCATCTCTGATTTGATTTATAAGTAGAGATACACACTGTATTGTATACTCCTCACCTGTCAAACATGCCCACTGTGGTACCTACTCTAAGAAATCCCCAGACCCCCTTTCCTGGGCAATCTGCACTCCTCCCCCACCCTCACCACATGGCTGAGTGCTAGAATGGCTTGTCCTGGCCAGTGTCCCACACCTGCCACAGTGTCATGCAGTTTCCAGCATATCTTAAATTAAAATAATAATAAGAAGAAGATAGTCTGAGACAGGCTCACTGGCCTAGTGGCTAAAGTCCTCACCTTGAATGCCCCAGGATCCCATATGGTGGCCGGTTCTAATCCCGGAGGCCCTGCTTCCCATCCAGCTCCCTGCTTATGGCCTGGGAAAGCAGTTAAGGACGACCCAAAGCCTTGGGACCCTGCACCCAAGTGGGAGACCTGGAAGAAGCTCCTAGCTCCTGGCTTCAGATTGGTGCAGCATCAGCGCTGCAGTCACTTGGGGAATGAATCATCAGATGGAAGATCTTCCTCTCTGTCTCTCCTCCTCTCTGTTTATCTGACTTAGCAATAAAAATAAATAAATCTTTAAAAAAAAAAGAGGTATTCATTATCAAACACAGGATGAGCACCCACTATGTTTGTGAGTCTCTCAAGTGCTAGAGTGCAAAGTTAAATATTGTACAGCTGCTAAGTTCACAAAGCAGTATGGGAAGCTCTAACAAGCAATGCAATATGGTATAATGAGCGCTAACAATAGGAGACAGCTATGCACAAAACTGCATTACAGAGAAAAGGAATCTTGAATCAGACTGATGAGTCATATGCTACAGGATTTTCTACAGGGTTTGGTACCATTGAAATGAACCTCAGAGAATAAGCAGAATCCAGGCGAAGAAGGCTGAAGGTAGGAATGAGAAACATGGCAGGGTAAGCTAGTCCAACACCAATGGGAAGAAGAAACCATTTTGGGCTGCAACATATTAGACTAGAGAGCTTATCACCACAATCCTTAAATGCAAAGGCATGGCATCTAAACTCCATTCCAAAAGCTATTGGTTAACTGCTGCAGAATTTTAAACCCCACAGAGGCATGTTATTTGTAATTTCAAGCTAACTCATGTTACATGTGGAGAATATACTGAGGAAGAGGATTGAAATTCATGAGACTACTACAACTGTCCAGGGCAGACAATACGGGAGATTAGACTTGACTGGTGGTGGCAGTAAAGAAGTGGAGGCTTCAAAGTATTTCTACAAAGCAAAACTAGCAAGATTTGGAGATTAGCTACATATGGCTAAGGAGGAAGGGAGAATTAAGATGGAGGAATATGGGGTCAGTATTGTGGCATATCAGGTAAAACCACTGTCTGTGACACCAGCATCCCATATAGCATCAAACATTCCCCACTGCTAAATTCCTAATGCAACTGCCTGCTAATAGCCTAGAAAAGCAGTGGAGAATGGCCCTAGTGCTTGGGGCCCTACACCCATATAGGAGACCAAGATAAAGTTCCTGGCTCCTGGCTTCAGATTGGCTTAGTCTTGCCCATCCTTGGTCATCTGTGGTGTGCGCCAGAGGGAAGATCAATTTCTCTCTCTCTCTCTTTCTTTCTGTAACTCTGATTTTCAAATAAATCAAAATTATAAAAAAGGAATAAGTGGAAAAAGCAGCAAAAAATTGAGTAAGTTAGGAACAGAAAGTTCCTATTGCACTGGCAAAATGAAGGTCACTGATGATTTCAGACTGTTGGAAATAGAAGCAAGAATTGTTTGTCCTTAAAAATGAGAGCTATTTCATATGCTCATGGACTGAAAGAAAAGAGCCAATAGAGGTTAAAAATAAAAATGGAGTAATAAGTGTATTGAAAAACAGCAGGGATACTAGCAATAGGACATAAATCGAAACAGGTAGAATACAAGAGAGAATAGGAATGATTTAAGCAAAATGTGAACATGTTAAGCAAAGAAGCTAAGAAAATTCTCATCTAATGGCCTTAATTTCCTAGGGAACAACCAGGCATGGTCATTTGCCAAGAGCAAGGGTAAAAGTGATGGGGTAGGGATTTAATAAGAGGTTAAGAGTTTAGAATGGTCACTATAGCAGCGGGTGTTTAGGCTAGCAGTTAAAGTGCCTGCATCCCACATCAGAATGACTGGGTTTGAGTCTCACTTCTGGCCTCTGACTCTAGCTTCCTGCTAATGTGAACCCTGGGAAACAGTGGTGATCTCAAGTAAGTGAATGCCTATCACACATGTGGGAAACCTGAACTAAGTTACCAACTCCCAACTCAACCTAGCCCAGTTCTAGCCATTAAGGGAATTTAGGGAGTGAACTAACAGATGGGAGCTCACTATCTCCACTTCTCAGATAAATACATAATTTTTAAATTAAAAATAAGAATTGTCACTACAAAGGATGGAAGAAGCAATTGACAAGAGCCATGGAAGAACTCCGGAAAATGGTCATATCAAAAGAGCAGTGTTCTATCAGCAGGATCCTGGGGGTGAAGAAGCACCCCAAGTGTTAAATCATTGGGAGGGTAGATACAGCTAAGAACTAATAGGGAAGGGTCAATGTTGTGACACAGCAGGTTGAGCTACTGCTTGCAATGCTGGCATTCCCTATGAGCACTAGTTTGAGAGCATGCTGCTCCCTTTCTTAACCAGCTTCCTGCTGATGGTCCTAAGAAAGTAGCAGAAGATGGCCAAAATACTGGGCTACTGACACCTATATGGGAGGCCTGGATGAGGTTCTAGGCCCCTAGCTTCAGCCTTGAACACATCTGGCCATGTGGGGTATGACACATCAAAACCAGCATATGGAAAATTGACTTTATCTCTCTCTCTCTCTCTCTCTTTCTCTCTCTCTCTCACATGAACCAGCAGATGAAAAATCAATCTCTCTTGCAAATACACTCTTTTCCTTCACTCCTTCCCCATCACTTTCCCTTTCAAATAAAGAATAATGCGGGATCTAGAGAATCAGGTGGGATTCTTGTTCAGTTCCCACTAAACATGGCTTGGCCTTCTATTTTCTTTCAGGTTCCAAGAGGACAGGCACCATGTCTGTTGACATGCTGAGTCACTACTGTAACCCCAGCTGTAACACACAGCAGGCCCTGAAGGTCCTTGAAACAGAAGAACATCAAAATCTCTTCAGGATGTAGATAATTTACTGTCCCTCCCACATCTGATGGCACAGCTCTATTCTGCTCCACTGAAGACACTCACCTTCCAATTACGTCAAGCCTTCACACTGGCTACAATGCTTTTACCAGTAGCTCTCTGTCTTAACACTTCACCATTATTAACGGCCTTGGATGCTTGAGATTTACAATAACAGACATAGTTCTCTCCCCCCTCCTTCTCACCCTTCCTACAGTAAAACATCAGTAATCTCTCTGCACTCTGAATTTCCCCTCCTCTCTAGCACCGACAGTGGTTCCAATATTAAAATGTCATGGTTGCTACTGTGACAGATGACAATGCCCCAGATCATTTTATAATGCCCTTGGTTGCTTTTTACCTGAGTCACTTGATTATGTTTCTCAGGGACGTTATTCAGATTGCTGCACCGCACACAGACAACATTCCCATCTGCAGGAAACAAGAAGAATTAACTGATATGGTTTTCTTCTTTAAAGAGTACTTAGAAGAAAATGTCTGCCAACTCAAAATCCTCTCTTCAAAGAGACATATGTGGATATGAAGAAGTAAAGTACTTTGTTCCAGCACATGGCCAGTTTTCAGGGAAAACCTAATTGCTTCCTGGCCCAGCCATTAAGCAGCTAATTCTTAATGGAGCCAGTCCTCACTATTTTCTCTCATGCCACAAATGTGCCATATGATGACATCTGTTTTCTGTTCACATTTTTAAGAGGAACATCGACGTCATCCTCATTTAAGTCAGCACACGGGGGGAGGGAGAGAAGAGGGGAGGACAAGTACCTGCCCTAATGAACTGTGGTTTAAAGCATATGGATATTAAATAGCGTGACTAACATAAAATGACGGTGTTTCAAGTGGATATATTAAAAATGGGCAAATAGAAAGTTCGTGAATGGAGTCTTGGAATGGATACTCAAGTTAAGTCACAGACACAAGCCATTAAGATTTCCCTCACCCAAACACACTGCCCCTATTGATTTCTTTAAGGCAGACTTATCACAGAAAACTCTGGTTTTCAGGGATATAAGGATGTGAAAAAGAAAAAGCAACTAACACAAAATGATGATGCTGATGATGAAACAGCAGCTATAACAACAGAACACTTATTAAGTGCTTGTTAGGTATCAGCCATATAGTTCACTGAGCGTGAAGAAAGGGCAGGGGTGTAATTATCACTGTTACAATGACTACTCACCAGAATGAGTCCACAATCAACCTTGTGATCGATCATGCTCTGCATCAAAGACTTGCAATGAAACTTCCTTTTCAAGGCCACTATATTTTCTACTCTTACTGTCACTGGTGTCTGTACCCTTCCCTTCCTTATCAGTCCTCAGTTTGCTGTTTCTTCAGATCACAGCCTGTTACTGACCTCTCCATGTTCCCAGATAATATCTTTCAGTCTTTGGATTCCCATCCAGACCTCAGTTTACAAAGAAGGTAGACTTCTTTCGGTAGCCGTTGATGACAGTCTAGAAAGGACAGAAGGACAGGAAAGGGAGAAGAAACGGTCAGATGAAGTCAAGGAAAACAATAGAGGAAAAATAGAAATGTTCTGTTTAAGCATGAATGTTGCTTACTTGGAAGGAATGACATATATGATAGTTCATGGTCAAAATCAAGACACTCCATAACAAAAAAAGTTTCAGTCTTACCATTAAGCAGTCAGCAAATTTGTGTCAAGGGCCAGAGAGCAAACATTTAAAGTTTGATAGACCATATGGTACCTATCAGCTACTCAGCTTTGCCACTGTAATATGAACACAGCCACAAACAATGTTACACAGACAAGTGAGCTCAGCTCAGGTGGTAGTGCAGTGATTGATACAGTAGGCTTTGTATCACACAGACCCGAGTAACAGTCTCAGCTATGGCACTTTCAAGATGTGTATATGTCTTGGCAAATTACTTAATCTCTCTGAGCTTCAATGTCTTTCACTTGTAAAATGGCAGTGCCAAAGCCATCAGAGTTACTACAAACAGAACAACGAAGATAAACGGTGCATGATAATCACTTAGCATAGAACCCAGTACCAAATGCTCAGCAAATGTCAGCAAATTTTATGAACCATTAAGAGGAATGAGAGGTGAAAGGAGAAAGTCCTACACCTACAAAACTGTGTCATGGAAAACAACAATAATAATAGTAAAGTCACAGAAAAAAGAGGAATTGGTGGATAAAGAATAGAATGGTGACGACTTACAGAGGGATATAATAGGATGAAGACAACAACAGGGTTCCTTGGATTTTGCAGCTGTTGTGACCTTGACTCTTTTGAGCACTTGGAGGTAAGACTCCAGTCTGCATAAAATTTTCTTCTAAGCTTCAAATTTCACCTGCAAAAGGATAGAAGCAATGAAATGAAAGATTTCTGTAGCCTCACATAAAAGAGTAGGCAACAAATGGAACAGACCAAGGAGATCTCACAAATACTTGAGCCATGGTTTCAGCAGATAAGAAACCCAGAATAATGGAACTGAGACAGACTTAATAAGGTACTGAAAAAAGGTCAAGAGCAAGCTCTGGCGTAAGCTCATCATTTTACTGAACTTTTCAGACTGAAGTTAGGTTTTTTGCCAGTGCTGACCAATAGAGCTTTCTATAATGAAAATGAATTATATCTGCATTATGTTGTATGTATATGGTAGTCACTAGCCAGTAAGCACTTAAAAAGTGACCTGTGAGGCTGAAGGACTAAATCCTTAGTCTTATTTAATATATAGGGTTAATTCTGCTACAATGTGACATAAGTATCTCAATATCATACTAGGCAAAAATGCACACCAAAACAACCAAGGCTCATGGGGGAAATATGTGGCTAGGCATACAATAGTCTAAAACTTATCAGTAACACACACAAAAAAGATAGCAACCTAATAAATATGGCAGCATCATTTCGCACAAATCAAATGGTTCAGAAATATGACTACTATAATAAGGCTAGCATGTTACCCTAAGACCTAAAGTTTGCTTACCTGAAAGGCTGAAGCTTGGAGTTATGAAGTGGTAAAAGAGGGTCACATGAATTGGACAAGAAGCTCTAACACCAGACTCAGAGGAGTGTGGCTCATAACATGCTTGAAACACACAGGGACCCAGTAGTGTCAGGAGTGCTTGCAGTGTTCTCCTGTAGCTCAGTTTGGCTGGGTGTAGTTTCCTTCTTTCATCTAGTATTTTTAGTAAATGTGAAATTTGTATTACATTCAAATTGTTCCCTACTATGCCAATCCAATGAAACAAATTCCCATGCTCAAAACAAACATTAGGGTAAAATTGACTGTATTTAAATTTAAATAGTCACATGTGGCTAGTGGCTACTATTGTTGGAAAGTGCAGCTATATATGCCACAGCATGAGTACCACTACCCACACTCATAAAGCTATAAGAGTGATAAAATAGCCAAGAAAGGAAATAGACATTTGTATTCAAGCATCTAGAGTCAAGAAAATATGAGAGGCCTTAAGTTCAAGTTTCAGGTATTGACATATTGAGTTTCAGGACCTGCACAGGCACCTGGTCAAGCTTCTTCCCAGTCTAATGCTATTCCCTGTAGGACAGGAAAGGTAAAAATTCAAGCCAGGTCCCTACCTTGAGCTGTTCTTCATAGCTCAGCCTCTAGAGTGGTGTCACAACATCAGCCAACCTAGAATCAAATAACTCCAGCACTTCATTAATTATATAAACATGTCCCAAGCACCTACCATGCTTAAGTGCCTCCCGCTACCACTTTCTCTGGTGATTTATTTAACATGCAGAAGACCCAACTCACGTGCCCCTAGGGAGAGAGAGTCTGGGAGAAGAGCCCATTTTGGCGTTGTCTACTTAACAAAGCAGAACAGATGCACAAACCTCATAAAAGAAAAATTCGGATTTATCAGGTGATAATTAATCATATTACAAAAAGCTTCACTGTTGGGTTCCTTTAAATAACTCACCTCCCTAATGCTTTTGAAATATAATTTGATTTAGAAAATACATTTGTTGCATGAAATAAGGTGCATTTGTATTTGTATGGCTGCAAGGGACACTTCATTTCTAATCCATCTAATACCATTCTTGGCCCTAGCTTCCAGCACACCTACCCCAGACTGTTCATTGAGACAGAGTCCCAATCTAGTATTGCCTTTCTGAGAAAAATATCCTCAAAGGCAAAAATATTTTCTGCAACCCCAAAGCATGATTTCTTCAGATGCCCTAAAATCTGTTGCTGGGTATCCTCTCTCAGTGCCCCTTCAGATCCATGCAGTGCCACATTTGTCACATGAGGAATACAGAATTTCAGCAGATGCACAGATTTAGACTGCCCAAAGAGAAAGTCCACCTGCATAGGCCTCACCTTTCCTGTAAGGAATCTTTTAGTGATCCAAGATGGCTTGGCTGCTGCTGACATCTCTGTCCCCTTTGACATTTCTTGGCTACCATGTGGGTGAAATTTCCTTTGCATACTGTGCCCAGAAAGAGTTGTGACCAACCTGGTGGCTTTCTGGCACACTAGGGAAGTAGGGGAAGTAGCATCAGTTTGGAGAAGAGAGACACCCTGGAGAGGACACTTCAGGTTGGGCACTGGGCCTCTGCTATTGATTACCACCATTCAAGAAACACAGCCATCTACCTGCATGAAAGGTGGATGTACAGAAACCGAGAAATGGAGGCACAATTGCCAACCTTCCTCACCACCTACAAACCTTTAAGGAATCATAGCACCTAATGCAGCACTGGTACAGAGTAGATATTCAATTTAAAAAAAAAAGCAGAGGAAAACATAGCTTTGGTCTTCTAGGACACAATTCAAGTCTCTCCACACATATGTAGGGCTAATCTCTTTTTCTATTCTACCCTCCATCCCAACAATGAATTAACTAACCTGTAGGAAGTATGTGCTATGTGCAAGACACCCAGCCACACTGGAAAGCAGAAGGGTTACAGAGGTCACAATCCAATTGAGGAGATCAAATGCCAACACAGAAAAGATATTAGTAAATAATGCAACATGCTTCATTCCTCAGGGCAAGCTCCCCAGGGCAGGTAAACCCTTGCATGGGACCCTAAAGGATGGCAAACTATGTGAATTAGATATTTTGGAGCACAGTCAGTAGGCTGGCCTGGCTAAAATACTAACTCACATTAGGGAAAAGAGGCAATAAGGCTGAAATATTAAGGCAACATGAGGTTTGGAGAAATGTTAACACGTGAGTAAAATATTGGGTTCTTCTGTGAAGTAAACTATAAGTAGACAGAGGCTTTATGTTGAGAAATAGACATGAAATATGGTGGTCAACAACAACAAAAGCTCACATTTGAGATGCACTGTGTTTGGTATGGTAGGAAAATATCCAAATGGAAATATGTTAACAAGTACAGAAGCAGTAGGGTCAACTCCAAAGAGAAGTCAAGGCTAGATTGTGGTTGAGTATTTCTCTAAGTATGAGACAGCTTTAAGAGAACAAAAGGCCAATGACTAAAGCTAAAGGAAAGATAATATTCAGAGAGCAGAAAGAGATGCTTATGACTCAGGAGGAAAATCAGGAGAGTATAGGGCCAACTAGGCTGAGAGCAACACTTTTGATGAACACTGTACATCTAGGAAGTCTGTTGCTTAAGGCAAAGCAAAGTGGTAGGCAGTGGCAAGCAATAGGGACAAGTGACAGCTCTGGGATATTAAATGCACAGACCTGAAGTAGATAGATCTAGCCTGGATGGTCCCCTGGCACCAACACCAGTGGGCTGGTTGGCCTCTGGAAAAATAAACATTTCCATTGACCTCACTTCTCTTGCTGGAAAATGAGGACAGTTATAGAGCTTACCTTATATAACGGTTGTTTGTTAAACAAAGATAATTTATGAAGAGTCTTTAGCAGATTAGAGATGGTATTTGCAAAGATCTTTGGGGTTAGCAATGACTGTCATGATGTATCTCAAAACATCATGGAACTAAGTGGGATGGCTACATGGAAGGAGAGGAGAAGGTGGTTGGAACAGTGGGAAGAACTCTGACACTAAGGCTGGAGGAGTTAAAACAGGTGAATATGGGAACACAAGTGCAGGGCTTCACTTCACAAACAGAAAGGAATCCTTCTTCCTCCTACATGGGACTCTATTGCTTATTTATTTTATCATGTCCTGTCCATTGTTGTGTAAGCATCTTTTGAAATGTCGAGGAGCTGGCGTGACATTCTACTTATTTGCTGTGAAAATCACTTTTCTGGGGCCAGCGCGATAACTCTACTGCCTAATCTTCTACCTGAAAGCTCCAGCATACCATATTAATACCAGTTTGTGTCCTGGTTGTTCCACTTCCCATTCAGCTCACTGCTTATGGCCTGGGAAAGCAATGCAAAATGACCCTATGTCATGCATCGCCATTGGAGACCCGGAAGAAGCTCCAGGCTCCTGGCTTTAGACTGGCTCAGCTTCAGCTGTTACAACCATTTAAGGAGTGAACCAGCAAATGGAATCTTTCTGTCTCTCCTTCTCTCTGTAAATCTGCCATCCCAATAAAAATAAATACATCTTAGAAAAAAAATTATCTTTCTGCCACTGACCCCCACCTTGTACTTCATCTTAACTTGCTGTATTAAAGTCCACTATATGCAATGGATTTATTAACAAAGATCCTGCCACAGCTCCCCCTATTATTACTAATTTAGCATGCTACAATAGATATTTATTTAAGAGGATACTGACATAGGTGCTACAGTAAGTAGCCTATAAGCCATTCTATATGATTGCAAATTACTGAAGCAAATAATTGTCAAGACATGGATTCATTTTGGGGGCACTCCAAATTTCTAACAGAATATATATAAGCTGACCCAGAATCCAGGTGTCAATGATTATACTCCCCACCAAACCTCCCAGAAGGAGGCAACAAGTTGTCACAGTTAAGAACATGGGCCTTGGGGCCAGGGACATGGCCTCGCTGGTGGGGCCACCTTCTGTAATAAGGACAGCATCCCATGTGGGCACCAGTTTGAGTCCTGGCTACTATATTTCTAATCCAGGTTGCTAACGGTCTGGGAAAAGCAGCAGAAGACTGGCCCAAATTTAAACCTGGATGAAGTTCCTGGCCCCTGGTTTCAGCCTGTCCCAGCCATGGCCATAATGGACATCTGGGAATGAGCCAACCTATTTAAGATCTCTCTTTCTCTCTTCTTAACTCTAACTTCCCAATAAAATAAATAAATCTGAAAAAAAAAAAAACAGGTCTCAGAACCATGTTCTAATCTACAGGTAGGCCTTGGTAAGTTACTTAAGTACTATGAATTTCCATATTTCCATCCATAACAATAGGACTGAGCTCAACGGCTAAATCCTTGCCTTACAAGTGCCAACTTCCCATATGGGTGCTGGTTTGTGTCCCAGGTGCTCTACTTCCCATCTGGCTCCCTGCTCATGGCCTGGGAAAGCAGTAGAGGATGGCCCAAAGCCTTGGGATCCTGCACCCACATGGGAGACCCAGAAGAAGCTCCTGGATTTGGATCAGCTCAGCTCTGGTTGTTGTGACTATTTGAGGAGTGAACCAGCAGATGAAAGATCTCTCTGCCTCTCCTTTTCTCCATAAATCTGATCTGCCTTTCCAATTAAAAAGAAAAATCTTTAAAAAAAGAGTACAACTGATTTCACCTGTCTTGAGAATTAAATGAGTTCATACACATGAACTACTCAAGACTGTGATTAAAACAGGTGTTCAACAAGTATCACCGCCATTCTTCAGTTTTTTTCTTTTTTTCAAAGCATGTGACTCGGCTTTTTTTGTGCCTCAATGTGTCCAATCTGTAAAATTTGTGAGACATAGTAATGCATGAAATTACTGTGATAATAAGCACAATTATATAGGAACCTTTAAAACCAATGCAAAGGGGCAGGTACTCAGGCATACCAGGCTAAGCCTCTACCTTTCACACCCCCATCCCATTTGGGCACCAGTTGGAGTCCCAGCAGCTTTGCTTCTGATTCAGCTCCTTGCTAGAATGGCCTCAGAAAGCAATGGAGGATAGCCCAAGGCCTTGGGACTCTTCCCCTACATGGGAGACCTGGAAAAAAATCTTCCTGCTCCTGGCACTGGACTGGCCCAGCTCCAGCCAGCCATTGTGGCAATTTGGGGTATGAAACAGTAGACGGAAGACCTCTCTATATGTCTCTTCTCTAACTCTGCATTTTAAGTTTTAAAAAAGTTTTTAAAAACATCAGATACACACAAAACCTTTCATGTCTCTGCTTGCGTGCCTGCAGGATGATGAGATGGTCAAGTTACCACATGCCCAACAACCTGTTAAAACTATCAAAAGCAGAGCCAGTGCTATGGCACTAAGGCTTAAGTTGCCAGATGATGTCAGCATTCCATATGCATACCAGTTCAAGTCCCAGCTCCTGGCTTTGGCCAGGATCAGTGTGTAGCCATTTGGGGAGGGAATCAGCAGACAGATCTCTGTCCCTGTCGTCCCTTGTCTTTCTGTGACTCTACCTTTTAAATAAACAAATATTTTTTTAAAAAATACTTTCAAAAGATTTTCTTCTTACTTGAAAGGCAGTTTTATAGAGAAGAGGAGACTCAGAGATCTTCTATCCACAAGTTCATTCCCTAAACGGACACCAATGGTCAAAGCTGGACCAGTACCAAGCTAAGAGCCAGGAGTTTTGTTCTGGTTTCCCACCCAGGTGCAGGGTCCCAAGGCTTTGGGCTATCCTTTGCTACCTTCCCAGGCACAAGCAGGGAGGGCTAATCCAACTCTCAGCAGATGGAAAATCTCTCCCGTCTCTGCAATGCTGCCTTTGAACCAAAAAGAAATATTTTAAAAAATATATAGAAAAAGAAAGAAGAAGAAAAAGAAGAAAGAAGAAAAAAGGCCTGGTGAGGTTTTGGGGGCTAAACCCCAGACTACAGAGGAAGGTCATCAAGCTGGCTCAGGGGAGGGTGAAGGTGCTAGCAAGGAGCAGGAGGGATGAAGGGAGGGGTACACCACTCTAGGGGTTGGCACAGAAAGGAACTGAAGGACACTCAGCTCTGGGGTCTCTTGCTGGTGACTGCCACCATGACTGTGGTTCACGTGTCCTCCACCTCAGCAGCAATCTCCTTTCCCATCTAGCCTTCCTCCAGATAGGGAAATCTGGTGTGAGGATCCTCCAATTTTAGGGTATCAATCAACCAGCCATCACTCCTTGTAAAAAGTTTTTCATCATATGTACCTCATTTCTGTGGTGAAATCTATTTTTCAAGGCAGCATAGGTGAGTTCTGTTTGTTTCTTTCTTAATATCACCAGGGACATCTATTTAAAGAAAGCACTTATTTTCCTTTCCGTTTTTCCTGTTTTAAATAAATGCCAAGGGCGTTTTAATTCAGAAAAAAGGAAAACAGTGCATGTGTGAGAACTCCACTTCTGCCTGAGAGCCCAAAGTAGCTAACTAGGAAGGCAGAGAAACTGTGCAGGGCTTCCAGGGCTCAGAAGCTCCACATCAAAGACACTGTAAAATGTCCTGCCACCTACAAAGACCTTGCTTGTCCTCTGCTCCCCCTTCCTTGCCAAACCGGCAGGAGATTAAGGCGCCCCCATTAGCAGTCCACTGGCGCTCAAATACTTTTTTTCTCCACAGAGGATACCAGCTCCTCCCCCTTTCGGGGGACGGGGTGGGAGGGCAACTTCGGCCCAAAGTGTCTGTAGAATGGGTATAACAAAGGGAGAGGCCAAGAAAGCCTGCCACTGAATTGGATTAGGCTGCAGGGTCTGGAAAGAAGGGAGTGGAGGATGGGGAGGGAGCTGGAGGGCTGGGGGTTGGGCAGGGACCAGTTGTCGCACCATTGGACTCTAAGCTGATCCTGACCTTGCGCAGCCACCAGGAGGTTGCCGCTCCCGCGCCGCCGTTGTTCTCTATTCCCGCCCCGTGAGCAGTTTGGTGCAGTAAGCAGTTTTCTGTACAGCAAGTGTAAAATCGCGTTTTCCGGGCTATTTATCCCCCCTCTCTCCCCTGCGCCTTACCAATAAATCCTCTTACAGGGCTGCTGCAAGGCAAGAGTCATTTCCTGGTGCGCGGGACGGCGCGCATTTCCTGGTGCGCGGGACGGCGCCACTGCAACGTACGCAAACGGCCCGGGACTGGCGGCGCGGAATGTGAGGCTCCTCCCAGCGTGGGTGGGGCCGTGATCAGGTCAGCTCACCTACTCCACTCCTGGGTAGCCCACTCCTACTGGGACCCTTTTCTGGAGACCTTCAACAAAAACATTTAGAGCCCAATAGTTTGTCAGCTCTGTCCTCCGAATTCTGCCCCCAGCCCCATTTCCTGTGATCCTGCCCATCGCCTGCTCTTTCCTTCCTGTCTCATTGATGAATCTGGATGAGCCTCGGAAAGACCACCATGAAATTTGCACTCCAGTGAACGGTGCTACCCACACCACAGGTGCTGCTGGTGTTTTAACCCAAGGAAGGGTTTTTGTAATGGTAGTATTGCAGGCATCTCATCCATAAGGAACCGGGAGATGAGGGCTGAGGTGGCTTCCTGAACCTATGGTTTGCGGAAAGTGAAACTGATTCGAGGCCATTGCGGTTTCCAGACATTCATTGTCCATCTCTTTTATAGTGTATCAAAAAAAGTATTTTGCTATTATGATAACCCGATTTCTTAAGTGGATTCCACTCAAGGCTATTAAATCTTAAATTATCAGGGAAAGAATTTTTATTTTCTTCCCTTCAACTACAGAACTCCCAAACAGGACTGATATCCTGGTTCATTCACCAGCTCCCAGAAAACATTCAATGGTTCCTCTCATTTGTGGGGAGAGGCTTTGTAGCTCAGCTAAATAAGTAAAAGAACATGTGTGTCCTGTAAATACTTGTTGCTTTAACAGAATAAAATATACATTAAAATGAACCTGCATGCAATGACGTTTAATTTTTGTGTTTAATAGTAATTGAGCTTAAATGGGAAACATTTTTAATTAATTTTTTATTTTTATTGGAAAGTCAGATACACAAAGAAGAAGAAAGAGAGAAAAGAGAATTTTTTGTCCATTAATTCACTCCCCAAGCGGCCGCAATAGGTGGTGGTGCACCAATTTGAAGCCAGGAGCCCGGAGCCTCTTCTGAGTCTCCAATGCGAGTGCAGGGTCCCAAGGCCTTGGGCCGTCCTCGACTGCTTTCCCAGGACACAGGCAGGGAGCTGAATGGGAAGCGGGACTACTGAGATTAGAACTGGTGCCCATATGGGATCCCGGCGTGTGCAAGGCAAGGACTTGAATCACTAGACTATTATTTCTTTTATTTATTTACTTGAAGGTAGCATGCTTCCTGTGTGCACACAACGGCATTCTCCCTGCTGAGTACAGCAACAGCAAACATTGAGGCTGATAGATGATGACCGCCCACCGCCGCCCGTTGGTGGAATAATATCAGCAAGTTGTCCATAGTTGTAACAGAAGCTTTGTTGGAAAATCCGCTCCTGGGCCCCCTTCGCACAGAGCGGAGGGAAAGTGGAAGTGAAATGGGTGGCTTGAGATACGTGTCAGGGAATTTTATACTCCTGTAGACATGTGGGCTGGCAAGGAACTGTCTATGCCCCAGGTATATAAGGAATGTCCGTTCAGGTGTGCCATTGGTCTGCTAGAATCCTGCCAGGCTGGTGACGTAACTGGCTCCTGTGGTCCCTCCTGTTCTGGGATGAAGCCTGGTTCACATGCCAGGTCTGAAGCAGAGCCAACCCCTCGCCTCCAGTGCCCTGGGCAGCCATCAGAGGCAGCCAGACCAAAGTTCAGAAACTACATCTGCCACTTGCAAGCTATTCTTGCTCAGTGCCTCAGTTTCCTCATCTGAAAAAAAATCCATAACAGTTACAGTACCTACTTCTTAGTGCTGTGATGACAATTAAGGGCCAACGCCATGGCCTAGTAGATTAAGCCTTCACCTACCATGCAGCATCCCATGTGAGTGCCAGTTCGACTCCCAGCTGCTCCACTTCCCATCCAGTGCCTATTGATGTACCTGAGTAAGCAGGAAAGGATAGCTCAAGTCCTTGGACCCTTGCACCCACGTGGGAGATCCAGAAGAAACTTCTAGCTTCAGCTCAGCTCTGGCCATTATGGCCATTTGGAAAGTGAATTGGCAGATAAAAGATGTGTGTGTGTGTGTGTGTGTGTGTGTGTATAAATTTCTCTTTTTCCATAAATCTGCCTTTCAAGTGAAAATAATTTTTAAAATCATTGAATTTTCACTTTTCTCACTGAAATTGTCTGCATCAAAATTCTTTTGTGTGAGACAAGAACTGATGTCATTCTTCCATGTCAAAATTCCCTGCAACAAAGCCATTGTTTCAGGTTACATACCTACATGGTCTGCTCAGAACCAGCAAGTGAGGTTCAGTCAGCGAAAGAAACTCCAGCTGTCTTTTTACCTGGCTCCTCTTATACTTCTCCTATAGTCAGCTGTACTCCTTTCTTCATTCCTCCTTTCTTTTCCTTGCGTTCTACCCCTTTATCGAATCTTATCTTGGCATTCTCTGAGGGACCTAGCACTCTGTCAAGTGCCCTGGAAACTCCACCAATTGAATCCCACCTTATCTATTGAAAGGGAAGGGCATTTCCTTCCTCAGTTTCACCTCCACCCATTCCGAGCATCCAAGCTAACTCATTTAAAGCAGATCTGTCATTCCAGGAGGTAGAACCCTGAGGGCTAAAGACAGAAAAGAGATTAAGGCAGCCATAATGTAATTATTTAGCCATTAACCCTTTATATTTATTTAATCTGATAAAGCATGTCCTACTATAAAACAGAAATCATTGTATTTGCAAGAAGGGAAATATCTCATATTATAGAAAAGGTTAGACTCTTCAACTGGAAAGCCAATAAATGAATGTGTCATAGGTGATAAGCAATACAGCTGTATTAAATTAGAGGTGGAACCAAGATAACCTTTTGCTTAACTTTGTTATCAGCAAACCGTATCAAAGCAAAGTGAAATGGCTAGAAATATGTGAAACATTCTCACTTTGGTGCAAAGAATTGATATGGTAAAGGTTATAGCATTAGTTCTCAGAAATAACATATACAATTCTTTTTCAGTTATGGCTATTCAGTGTTCATTCCTCACATTTAGGACTCTACTTGAGGCTAGGAAGGATAAATACACAAGTCATAGAGGCTAGCACCATGGCATAGCAGGTTAAGGCTCCAACTAAGGTGCCAGCATCCTATATGAGCACCAGTTCAAGTCTCGGCTGCTCCAATCAGCATCCTATATAATGGCCTGGGAAAGCAGCAGAGGATGGTTCAAATCCTTGGGGCCCTACCCACATGGGAGACCTGGAGGAAGCTCCTGTCTCCTGGCTTTGGACCAGCTCAGCTCCATCTGTGAGAGAACTTGCAGCAGCAGTTATGTGTAGGATGGATTTTATAGTGTAGTGACCTGGAAATTGAGGGAGGCTGCTTCAAGCATTTAGAGATCGAGATGAAAAGTGTATATACCAAAATGGGCTATCCTGCAGCCTATAATAATTTCTCAAAATATGATCAAGACCCATCGGTAACATAGCATAATTATACTCAGAGTGGGTATAACAAATATAGATTTTTGAGTTCTATCCTACAAGAACTGAATTGACATCTCAGGGGAGTAGGACTGCGATATATCTGGGTTTGCAACAGACATACTAGGTGATGCCAATTAAAATTAGAGCCCTCATGTACCAACTAAAATTGCAGATGAATTAGTTGGAGCTAAAGAAAATCTACTCATAAAATTCCTATAATAAATACATGTGCTATGCACCTGAACTATGGATGGGAAGGACTTTCCACTCTTAAAAAGTAGTAGAAAAAAATGTGTAGGTTTTATTATGTAACTCTTAAGAACTGCCGTATGGGCAGGAGCTGTGGTACACAGCGTTAAGCTGTTGTCGCTGCATCCCATATCAAAGTGCCAGTTCATGCCCCAACTCCTCTGCTTCCAATTCAGCTTTCTGCTAACACACCTGGTAAGGCAACAGATGATGGTCAAGTACTTGGACCTCTGCTATCCATGTGGGGGACACAAATGGAGTTACTGGCTGCTGGCTTCAAGCTGGCTAAGATCTGGCTATTTCAGGCTTTCAAAGAGTGAACTAGCAGATGGAATCTCTCTCTCTCTTTCTCTGTTTCACTCTCCATCTCCTTCTGTTGCTCTCCTTTTCAAATAATCCTTTTAAAATTGCTTTAGTATGACAAAAACATAATTGACAAAATTAAATCATAGACAAAAATGAAAAATGTATTCATGTCTTCATTTTATAAGGAGCCTGTATAAATGTATAAGAGTGCCTTGACTATTAATAGAGACAAAGCTATGGAAATAACTCATAGAAAAGGAAATATAGCGCTTGCTTAGGCAGCACATATACTAAAATTGGAACAACACAGAGAAGATTAGCATGGCCCCTACGCAAGGTTGACACACAAACTCATGAAGCATTCCATATTTTTGTTTGCTAATATTTTATTTTAATAAACCATAAAACCCCCAGAAAGAAAAGGAAATATAATTGTTCAGTAAAATGCCTTGCTCTATCTCACTAATAAAATTGAACATCCAAAGCATATCAACTAGATCATATGTAACTGTCAGACTGATAAGTATTGAAAATGAACTGATATTCCTCAAAGGAGACTATGGGCAGTGAGGCAGAAATTTCCACACTGCCAGGAGGATTGCAAATTGTCAAAATTTCCTGGAAAGCAATTGGAGTCCATAGCTTTTAAATAATTTCATAGCATTCCTCCCAGAAATCCCACCTTGATGACATTCTTCTAATAGAGACATCAACAAAGATATATTTCCAAAGATTCACATGGTATTTATTACCATGGTAATTTATTGACTGGTTTATTTCAAAAGCAGAGTGACAGGATGAGAGTAGAAGAGTCAGAGATTCTTCCATCTGCTGGATCAC